AGGGATGGCAGTGTTGGTTCAGCATTGGAAGATCCACCCCCAAAAGTCATCATTTTAACAGAGAAAAGGAAAAAGTCATATGATCCTGTCAGTGGTTGGAGAAAAAGTATTGGACTAAATTTTAAAACTGTTCATGGTGAAAGCTATCTGGAGACTAGAAGTAGAACAGGATCTTCTCAATGGATAAGACATGTACTCCATGCTTCCAGAAAAAATGCCTTATATGAATGGAAAAGATACAATGCTTTCTCCCTAAGGTGGGGAACAAGGGCAGATATGTGTATTCTTCATCTGTCCATTAAACTTTGAAACATAGGCCCAAACCAAAATAGTCTGGCAATAAAAAGAAATAATTGGCATAGGATTGGAAAGGTAGAAGTAAAATCACTATATGTAGATGAAATGATCATCTACAGAGAAAATACTAAGAAATCTCTAGGAGCCCGTAGAAGTTGTATTCAAATTTAGCAGGATTAGAAAACACATGGTATATATGAAAATTCAGGTCTATGTATACTTACTATAAATGAAGAAGTGGATATTGAAATTTAAAAGTTATGTAGGAGTACAGAGGACCTAGAAAAGTAAAAAGAAAAAAAAAACAGTGTTGGAAGACATTTATTACCTAATTTTTTTGGTACTGGAGATCGAACTCAGATCCTTGTGCTTGCAAGGCAGGTGGTGGAACCACTGAGCCCTTATTATCTAATTTTAAGACTTCCTCTAAAGCTACGGTAATCAAGGCAGTGTTGCCATAACAAAGACGTATAGATCATTGTAATAAAAGAGAAAATCTGGAAATAGAACCACGCATATATGGTCCACTGAGTTTTGAAAGATTATTTAACATTAATATTTTATAGAACATAAACTCAATTCAAGAGCAGAAGAAAAGAAAATGTCTTCAGCAAATGGTACTAGGACACCTGTTATCTGTATGTAAAAAAATTAACCTCAACCCTTTATTTCCATACATAAAGATAACTTGAAAGGATCTATGAATCTAAATATGAAAGACTAAAACTATAGAACTTTAAGAAGAAATTATAAGGGAAAATGTTCATGAATTTAGAGTAGGCAAGAATTTCCTAGGATACAAAAAAAAAGGATGTATAAAAGAAAAAAATTGATAAATGAGATTCCATCAAAATTTAGAACTTTAAATGACATCATTAAGAAAATGAAAAGTAGTCCTTAAACAGACCATATTTATATAACCTGTGGCCAGAATATATAAAGAACTCTTACAACTCATTAATAGACAACCCAATTAAAAATTAGACATAAGATAATAAATACCCAGTACAGCACAAGGAAAGGTGTGCAACAGTAGAATCAGAAAAATACTAATCAGTACAATAACAAGATCGTATTACACACTCATTAGGGAGATGAAATTAAAAGTTTTAAAAAAACAGACATAAGCTTAGGTGTGAACCAGTTAGAACTTTCAAATACTGCTAATGTGAATGTAAAATGATAAAACCATTTTGGAAAACAATATAGAAATTACTTGTATTACTGTTAAGAACCAACAGTTCTGTTCTTAAGTTTTTCTTAAGAGGAATATGATAGGTCTCCTACTACCTCAGCAGCTATTATGTACAGTAGCTGCCCTCTTCCTATGGTGACTTGCTCCCTCCCCTGTGTGACGTCATGCCAAGGTGGTTGCTCCCACCAAAGAACAAACCCTTCTTCCCAGCATGCCCCTGTTCCCGCCTAGAGAATAACCTAATACTTGCTCACCTCCTACCACCTAGTGACGTCACTGCCTCCTCCATTCCCTAGTCACTACCTCACTCAACCCCACCTCAGCCCCTACAAACCCCACCCCAGTCTCTATAAAAGACTCTTCCTGCCCCGGGCATATTGCCTTTATCTCTCCTTTGTTCAGAGACAGCCTGGCAGATCTGTTCCCCTAATAAAGGCTTGTTGTGGCCTGGTCTGGTCTTGGTTTTTGGCCTTTTATGGGACAGAATGAAAACATGTTCACAATAGATTTGTACATATAAGTTGTCTATCCCTTCTCTGAAATTCTTGGGACCAGAAGTGTTTCAGATTTTGGTTTGAAATCCACTTGACCTGCAAAGAGGATAGCTACTCCTGCTTTTCTTTGGGTTCCTGTCACAAGCAGTATTGTTTTCTGCCCTTTAACTTTCATTCTATGAGTTTATTTTTGAATTAAGTGTTTCTTTTATGAAGCATATTGTTGGATCTTGCTTCTTGACCCATTCTGCCAGTCTATTTCTTTTGAATGGTGAATTGCAACCATTAACATTGATGGTTATAACTGATATGTATTGACTTATCATTGTTACAACTTTTTCTTTTTGTTATATTCTCCCCATTTGTGTTTAATTTCTTGTTGTGCCCAATGGATTCATTCTGCTTTGTTTTCTGGGGTTGTGATCTTCATGGTCTTTTCCTAGGATAGTGTCTAAAATGTTTTGAAGTGCTGGTTTGGTATTCATGAAGTTCCTAAGGTGCTCTTTGTCATGAAAGTATCTTATTTCTCCATCAGTTTTGAAAGATAGTTTTGCAGGGTACATCAATCTGGGTTGGAGGCTGT